CCCTGTCTTTCTGTCTCTCTATGGAGTCTTAGTTTTAGAAGAGGTTTTACGGCGCTCGCAACTGCATAAGGTCATATAAGCGCCTGAAGATTAGAGGTGTTACAAGAGAGTAGTAACACAAAAAGAAGAAGGGGAGATAAGGACAATAGTTGTTTCATAGAATTTTTCCAAGAAGCAAACCACACCAGAGCACCCGCCAACCACCCACTCAATGGGGTCTGTGGTGAAGCAGTCGGGCATTTTGTCGTCACATGCAAAAAACGAGTTCGATTCTCGTGTTGGCATACGAGTCTTTTAATCGATTATCTCTATTTATGTACTGCGACTTTGTATCCCTCTCTGCCCTGGATTGACCGTGACAGGCAGGGCCGAAACAGCCCACCTCACAAAAATATGATCTAAAATATGTCGACAGCGGGTGTAAAGCAGTAACATCGTCATCATGAAGTGCCAGATCTGAAACAGACATCAGTGATCATGGTTCGCCATTGTTCATTTCTTCGCTTTGATGCCCTAATAAAATAAAACTTGAATGATCCCAGTGCTTTCCCGTTTCTCATGCGTTCAGGTTTTCCATTATGTTTCTCTTTGTCGCCCCCTGCTCTGTTTGCCTGCTATTTTTTCCCCTGAAAGTAAGATGTTTAAATCCTTTGTGTCGATTGGCAATAAGTTCAATAAGAAAGTGTAACAATTACACTTTTTGGGTGTACACCATGGGTGGTTGGAGGGTGCCACTGGTTGGCACTACTTCTTTTCTATCCCTCTTTTGCTTCTGTATGTCTGGCTTACTTCTTCCCGGCACTACATGGCCGTTATTTTGCCGATGTGTACCTCTTTAGTGGGTGGTCGGAGGGTGTCACTGGTACGTCCTACTTCTTTGCTATCGCTCTTTTGTTTCGGTTTGTCTGTCTTATCTTTTCCCAGCACTAAATGACAGTTATTGTGTCAATGGGTTCTTCTTTACTGAGACAAACAAACAGGCACCGCTTTTCTTAAACAAGCAAATGAACAAACAAACGTGGGTGGTTGACGGATGCTCTGGTGCGGTTTGCTCATTCTCCCCTATCAAACATTCTATCATTCTTATCTCCTCTTTTTTTGTATTTGTCACTCTCTTGTACCACCTCTAATCTGCGGCACTTATTGTGTGACCTAATTGTGTTGCAAATGCCGTAAAACACCTACTAAAACAAACAATTTCCCTCTTTTGTTTCTGTCTATCTGTCTGTCTTACGTTTAGTAGCCAGTACTACGTCTCCGTCATTGTGTCAATGTGCACCTCTTTACTCAAACAAACAAATATAAACAAGAAATAAACAAACAAATAAAACAAACTAACTAATAAAACAAACGAACAAACGAGTTCTACTTATTAAATAATCAAACAAACAAGCACTCCTTACTCAAACAAACAAAGCAAACAAACAGTGGGTGGTTGGCGGGTGCTCTGGTGTGGTTTGCTTCTTCTTTTCTATCGAAGATCTATCGTCCTTATCTCCCCTCCTTCTTTTTTATGTTTGTTACTCTCTTGTTACACCTCTAATCTTCTGGCGCTCATGACCTTATGCAGTTGCGAACGTCGTAATACCTCTACTAAAACCCTTAAACTACCTAAACAAGCAAGCACCTTTTTTAAACAAACAAACAAACGAACAAACAAACACCTCATACTTAATCCAAAAATCTGTGTACCCCCTTACAGGTGAGCTACTTCGAGATCTACTGCGAGCGCGTGCGAGATCTGCTCAACCCGAGCAACAAGAACGCCCTGCGCGTGCGTGAGCACCCGCTGCTAGGCCCTTACGTGGAGGACCTGTCCAAGCTGGCCGTGCAGTCCTTCGAGGACATCAACAACCTGATCGATGAGGGGAACAAGGCTCGAACCGTGGCCGCCACCAACATGAACGAAACCAGCAGCCGCTCGCACGCCGTCTTCACCATCATCTTCAGCCAGAGGCGCCTCGACAAGCAGACCAAGATGGTCGGGGAGAAGGTGACAAGTGGGGAAAGGGGGAATGAGTCCGCGGGG